CCCCAACTTTTTCAAGACCCCTCCCCCCCCCCCCCCCACACACACTCTTTGTTTTCCATGTAATTTTCCATGGAAAATTGGTCAACCATTTTCAATGCTGTGGGAACACGGAATTTTCCTTGGCCAAATTCAGTTCAAACTAATTTTATGTCAAACATACTCCTACTGTATATCATGCTTTTATTAAAAAAAAAATTAAAGAACCTCTTGAAGTCAGTAAAGTTATGCAAATCTACAAATCTAGAATTTTGGTCAAGCTCCCCTTAAAACTCAGGAGAGAAAGAAATCCCAGTGCTGTGCTTGGGTGTAACAAACATAACAGTGAGGCATCTGTTACTTGCTAGACTGTGTGTGTGTGTGTGTGTGTGGGGGGGGGGGGTCGGGGGGCAAAAGTTTTAGAAACAAAATTGTGAATGGTGTGCCAAAACTGTCTAAAAATAAATGTCGCAAGTGACATTGTGTACTTGCTGGACTGCATCTGTTAAAAGGGTCTAAAACCAACATGGAAGTGAAACTGTCTATTTGTTGGATTACTGGGATGTCGCAAACCTAAAACTAACTTCGAGGCAACATTATCTCCTTGATGGAAGACACTTATGTCAAATGTTCAAAAAAACAACATGGCGCCATACTGTCTATTTTCTGAACTGATTGAATGTCTCACATCACAAGTGGCAGCAGAACGCTCTACTTGCTGGACTGCTGCTGTCTCACACACATTTTCTGAATCCAGTTTTTTGTAGTGGCACGGTCTATTTGCTGGCATGCTACAAACCTAAACCCATTTTGACTGTTAGACAGCAAAGGTGCCAAGTTAGAGGCAGAGTCAGGTGTGGTTTACACTTTAGTAATGATGTCAACAAAGTCCAAACCAAGGCAATGGCGATGTAGAAAAAAAGACACAGGCTATTACATGGACATGGTGGTCATGGTTACATTTCAAAGTAAAAATCAAACAAGGCAATGCTCAAACATGTTTTCATAAATAAACATGTTTCTTTTCCTTCTTTTTGTTCTGATGACATCATGGAGAATCTTCCCGGTCAAGTGTTTTGTCCAGGCAGTCGACCACTACCGGCGGTATGGTTTCCTGATGTGACGCCGATCGGATGGTCTTCTCGCCATCAAACATGAGTCACGCGTCCTCACCAATAGCGGCGGCGCTACAAACAACATTTGCATGGCAAGGCATAGAAGCATGTGTGTGTGACCGATGCTCCCGTCAAACGCCACCATCACCGACGACAGCAAGTTCATCAACACCTGGCTGGTTGGCACCCATAATAAATAATGTGTAAACAATGATTTAAATAAAAGAAGTTCATCAATAAATACCCTTGTGTGCATGTGTGATTTCAGTAAATAGACCTGACCCCACAGCCACCCCACGAGCATTTTCAGTCTGTTGTTTTCAGCAACCGGACCAGACCCAACAGCATGAGCTAATATTTTCAAGTCTGCTGATATCAGTTATTAGACCTGACCCAACGAACATTTTCAGACTGTTGATTGCAATCGTTCGACCTAACCCAACAGCAATAACATTATCAAGTCGTTGATTTCAGGGATTAGGTCTAATTCAACGGCATCAACGAGCCTTGTCTGTCGGTTTAAGTAATTAAACCCGACCCAAAAATACGAGCTAACATTTTCAGTCGACTGAGTTCATTAATTAGACCTGACCCAACAGCTTGAACGAGCATTTTCAGTCTGTTGCTTCCTCCCACACACACGCGCGCGCACGCACACACACACACACACACACACACACACACACACACACACACACACACACACAGTGGCGTTGGTCCAGTAGTGGCTTTCCTTCCTTCCTTGTGAAGAGCCAATCAGCAGCTTCCCCTCGATGCCAAATGTAAACGTCGTCGTTTTGTCTCTTTAATTTTACTTTACAAGGTCTTTGAAATCGAGTCCGTTTCAGCTTCGATCTTTGATCTCGGCTTTGGTCCGAGTTTGTTTCGGTCTTGGTTCAGGTCTTTACATGGCACTCCGGGAAAGAGGGCAAGAACGGCGCCGGAATGTTCCGCAAGGTGGTGCAGTCCAGAGTAGTCGGGGGACAGATAGAAAGGGGCAGTAAACACGAAAAGAGTTCTCCCAGCCAATTGGAGGTCAGCGTGGCTGACCAATGAGGGATGAGGGGACACAGCTGTGGTCGGTCAGCAGGCGTGGCGTGATTGGATGTTCACTTAGTGGTCGCTCGTTTGCCCCGTTGTGGTTATTTACATGGCGTGGAGGGTCCGTCGCAGCCCCCGTTTAGCTCCCGATGCTAATTCCACAAATGGGTCCCAGCCCGTCGTTTGGCAAATAAATAGCAAATTTGTTGATTGATTGGTGCAGTTCAGAATAAAAATAAAAGAAATCAGACCCCCCCTCCCCTCCCCCAGTTCGCAGGCGTCTCGGTTTTGCCTCCTCAGCTTCCTGACATCAAGTTAATGGCTTGTTCCAGTTTGTGGCGCAGTTTGTGTTTGCGGCAGTAGGCGTCGCGGTCCAGCGCAGTCAGAACCTGCATCATCATCAGCATCATCATCATCATCATCATATGCCTAGTCAGTTCATTAGCTAAACCCAGACCAAATTCTCTTACTATGTAAGTGTAAAATCGATGATTATCAGCATTATTAACTCACCTCTTCCTTGTATTTGTTGATGTAGAAGTAAAGCTCACTGAGCGCGCTTAGCGTGTTAAACTCATTGCCATGCAGACGCGACTGCTCCACCAGATAGGCGTCCATATCCTGGTCGCTAATGGTCGGCATTTTGGCGATGTCTCTGTAATACCTGCGAGAAACACGATAAAACACTTAGCCTGTCTTGATGGACATCTAGCAACGCGCTTGCTAGCATGTAACGTCGGCATCGACTTCTTTGAGGCAATATTTGCTCGTTAGCATGTTTGCTACCCGTGCGCACAGCTGGTGCAGTTGGTTATTAGATTTTATGAGCTACTTTGCGTACGAGCCGACTCTCTACATCGGTCTTATAGTTAGCTTTGGGGCTACACTAGCTCGTCGGCGTGTTAGCCACTGTACCTCTCCACCCAACTCTTGTAGTTGGGGATGTCTTTAGCGTAGAGCAGCTTGTTGGACGGGGAGTCCTTTCCAAGTCGGTGTTCCGATGTGGAGCAAGAGTCCATGAAGGTCTGGGCCACGACCGACAGGCAAGCGTCGGTGATGCTGCTTTTGTGGATGTCGAAAACAAACTGCGGATTCTTGATGACGTTGACCCAGAACCTAAGAGGAAGACTGGACACGCAGACGGACAATCGTGAGACTGCGATCGCACAGTATAGCAAGTGGAGTGAATACCATTGTAAGACGTCATCATCATATATTTGAATTATAAACGATTGATCGGTGACTTTTATCATCATCGTAAGGCAGGTTTACATGGAGCCCCGTCTTCTGATTTGAATGAATCCGAATGACCAAACGGAATGAAAATGCCTTCATTTAAAGACCGGAATCGGAATAAAAAGGTTGAATCGGAATGGAATTTTAAGCCGATTCGCAGGAGTGGTTTATTCCATTTGCCAGTTTGAACGAGCGTCATGTAAACAAACAGTTGAGTCAGACTAGCCAAGCCGCGTCCGGTCGGCGCGTGCTCTGTCTGGAGGGAAATGCAGAGTGACGTCATCTTATGCGCACTTGAAAATGGCAGCTACTTACCGGGGCTGCTCTGTGGACTTGTAACTTGTTTTTATCAAGAGGTTGCGTTCATCCAAGTGTTGAAACCAATCGAAACGACAGTGCTCAGTCGACGAATGAACTCCATCGTGACAACTCACGTGACGTTTACATCGATTTCCGCGTGTCACACGGCTGTCACAAAGCTGAACTAATGAACAGAGTGGCGCATGTAAACGGCAGATCGGAAGAGATCCGGTCACATGTAAACTGGTGACCAAAGTTCTTTATTCGGAATGATTTCAATCGGAATAGCAAAAACAAAGTCGCCATCGCTGAATCGGAGTGAATCAAAGGCTAATTCTTATGAATGTTATCATAATCGGAGTGGATCTTAGCGTCTTTGGAGTGAATCGTATTTTCACTGGTCAATGTATTTTTTTTAATTCACCGATGCAAAGAAACTTTTGAAGATACTTTTTTTGGGCGCGAATTCTTTTCTCTAGCGCATCAGGTTTTAATACAAGAATATCATATGGAATATTGTCATATATTTTGTAATATTTATGAATTAAGGGTTAGGGACAGCAACCATTGGATTTTTTTATTCCTCTATAAATTACAACGCATAGTAAAATCCGTATTGCGCAAGCTGTTATAGATCTAACTCATCCCCATGCAGCCATTTTCGGAACCGCATATCCTCGCGCAAAAACAAAAAAAACGCAGATATCTCAAAAACCTGATGGGCTTGAAAAAAACATTTAAGCATCGAAAATACATTACGGGAGGCAAAAAGCCATCTCTGATGAAAATTAGCTGTTGACGTTATCCTACCAGTTGCTCTTCCAGGTGTGTCGCACGTCCGGGTCGCTGATCTGTCGCTTGTCAGCCTGCTCGTCCAGAAAGTCAAACATGTATTTGATGGCCAGCGGCAGAGCGGAGCCTCGATGGGCCGTGCTGAAGACCGTCTCAAACAGGTCGTCCACAAACTTCTGCAGCGTCCCCTGTTGGCGGGAGGAGCACAGCACATGCTTGCGATGAATTCCGAACCGCCCGAACGACGTGCGCAATTTGCGCTGTCCTCAATATCGGAGGAGTTATCGTGACACCTTGGTGGCCAGCAGGCGCGTCAGGTAGATTTCGGACACCATTTTGCTGCCGCGATCTCCTTCCCGCTGGTCACTGTGCTCGTGGTTCTTGACCAGGTGCCAAAGTTTTGTTCCTAAAACACACGCGAGATTAGCCTTGTCACCGTACCCAAATTCCGACTTTCATACTATACTTGCGTTAAGTGTACCGACAATGTAGCATATGTACACTTGTCCTAGCTCACTGTTAGCTTAGCAAAATGGCAGCTACCTGTCTCCTGGTCCGGTGTGATCATGGGCGCTCTGGACCTCAGACTGTCAGGACTACTGGACGTGCGCAGTAACGATTCTGCATGTACAAGCACGCTGTGGTTAGTTTGTGTGCGTGTGGTCGTGCGTTGACAATATGCGCTCGTGAGTGTGTCAGCGAGCTGTCCACACACTGTGGCTCTTCTAGTTGTTTCTTATCTTCAATTAGGTACACTGCATTGGTAAAAGTACTTGCAAAAGGACTCGCATCCAATGACAATACGATTCACATGATACGATTCACTTAGGATAGGATTCAATCCGATTACGATATGATTTGCGACAAGTAGGAGACCATTAAATGAACTGTAATTATGAAACAAATAACTCCGATTCAGACACATTTCACTCGATGACCGTTCGATTCATTACAGCTATTTACTGCAATTTTCGGTTCACTCCTATCGCGATACAAATGAATCTGAGTACGATATGTTTCCCTTCGATTCTGACCAAATTAAGTCTGCTTACGATGCGATTGACGACAAGCACGATACGGACCACTGCAATTGTGATGGGGTTCACTACGATGACGAAACAATTTGTTTCGCTCTGATTATGACGCAATTTACTGATTATGATACACGTTGTGCCAATTGGTATAAGATTCACTGCAATTAGGATACAATTCACGCCGATTATGAGACTATTCACGACAATAACATTTCAATTATGATTCACTCTCATTAACATACAACTCACTCCAATTACAAAAAGATTCACGACTGTTCTAATACAATTTCCTACCATTATGATACAATTGTAGAATTCCACTCGCCAGCGAGCGAATAAAATCTAAGAGCCATCTACAAGTGGACAGGTAGCACAGACGCTAAGTCACTAATATAGCCTAATTCCGGACGCGCGGTCCAGGTTAAGGTTTGTGTGTGTGTGTGTGTGTGTGTGTGTGTGTATCTACCATATCTGCTGAGTGATCTGGTGAACGTGAAGCTGTTGGCGATGTTGTAAGCAGAAACCTGCTTCTGGACCAGGGCCACCAGGGAACCGTCTGTTACCTGGCAACACATCAGCATTCAGCTAAGGCTGCACGCCGCTTCCTGGTCACCTGACGGGGACGGACGGACGGAACAACAGACCTGATAGTGAGCAAGCGTGTTGAGTCGCTTCCAGTCGCTCTCAATCTTTGTGGTCACATCTTCGTCCTGCAGGATTATTCTGGTCAGGCGACCTTGACGCCACTCTGAACACGCACACGCAAATACACACACACACGCACACACACACTTGAAGTGAATCTTATAATGTGAAATGTATCACAATCGAACGTATGGTCCAGGATGTTAGGCTTGCGTACGCTCATTCATAAAACATTACCGAGATCCATATCGTCAGCCTGCGGTCGCTGCGAGAAGGGAATCCCCTTGTAGACGGCGTCCAGCAACTTGTCTTTGACCTGCGTCACCGTGTCGCAGTTCAACACCTTGACCGGCACCTCCGTTCCCGCCTCGCCCTCCGGGGGGATGCACATCATCGTCTAAAGGGAGATGACGGATGGTCTGCGGAGGCAAACCGGCGTGCACGTGCGAGCATACGCGCGCGTGGGCATTACCAGCTGCTTGTAGTCAATCTGCTGCCTGATGAGTTTGTCTTCGCTGAGGGAATAACGCGCTTCGCCCGTGATGGCGTCGATGGGCCCTTTCTCCATCTGCTGCTTGATGGCGCAGTAGAGCATAAACAGAGGCTCGCCGGCACACTCCTGACGGCGAAAGGGGGAGGAAAAAAAAAACACATTGAAGAGAATCGCATTGTAAAGGCGGCAAATTGTGTCGCAATTTTTGCTGAATCCTGTCTAAATTGTAGTCAATCATGTCTTCATCGTATCGAAAGTGTCGTGAGCTCCGCCCAGCTCTTGTGGTTGACGATGAGGCTATGTTAGCTGATTAGCATCTCAACTTCCTCGCACACAAAACAAACACAAGCGTGCCAATCACCTTGAGGAAGCGATACAGAAGGAAGGTGAACCAGTTGGTCAGCATCTTCTCAGCCACAGACTCCGTTCTGCAACACACAGTTCAAAGGTCAAACGGTAGGTTGGAGCGCTTGAACCCACACACGGGTGCGGTCAGGGTCAATGGTCGCCCACGGACCTCCTCAGCAGCAGTTTGGGGTGGTTCCGGTTCTCCAAGTTCTTCTCAATAAGGTCCGCCAGCAGCTGCTTGAGCACCACCGTGGCGTATTCCATGCGACCCTGATGTAAAGCCACGCCTGTTAGTAGAGCAACCACGGCGCTAGCCCGAAGGACACGTTCAAAACGCTACGTTAGCTTTGCGTACGAGCTAGGTACCCCGGCAGAATGATACCAGGCCTTCGAGAAACCGAGGTGTCTTCGGTAGCACGTTTGAGCATTTCGCACCGAGGAAGCGGTACCTGTAGCGCGGCCATCAGCAGCGAGGCCACGTTCCCGCGGTCCCGCATGGAGAACGACCTCTGAGCCTCCAGCGTGTGGATGAAGGTCAACAGGAACATTTTGTTGTTGAGAAGCTGGCTGAAAAGTCGCAGGGCTTTCTCCACATTGGCCGGCGACTGAAAGTACACACAGACAGACAAGTCACTCAATTGGCAACACTGACTGTGCTTTTTTTAAACTTGCTCCTCTGTGTGAAGGTGTGTGTGTGCGTGTGTGTGTGACATACATCCAGCTCCTTGAGTACAGGATGTTCTTCAATTCCTGGGAACATGACCCTCATGGTGTAAGTACGATATTCCAAGAAGGGAATCTTCACTCCGTCCATGTCGTTGGTCAGCTCCTGAATATCGGTCTGCAGCTCGGCAAAGGCTACACAACACGAACACATGCGTTATGGCGAAAAATAGACACATGCACATACGCGGCGGGCATGTGTGTGTGTGTTGGTCGCGCGTGGGTGTGCGCGCACCCTCTTTGCACTCCAGCGCCACCCTGCTCTCGAGGTTGTCCATCTGTAGCTGAAGACGCTTTAGTGTGCGGTCGGCGTCGCGCGTCTTTCGCTTGTAGGCGATCAGTACGGCGATGATGGCTACCAGCAGCACGCCGCCACCTGCGCCGATGCCGATGATGGCGGGCAGCGTGAGGGCGCTGTCCGAATAAATGTGCAGCGTTCCCGGGGAGAACTCCAAACCGCCGACCAGGATCTACGGGAAATTGCAGCCGTAAATGCTGTGGAATTGACTGAATTGTGAGACTTCCCCCTTTTCCTCTGAAAATAGATATTTGTCGGTTCATGGAAGAGGACGTGGTGGGCGAAGGGCTCGCTCACCAGCACACGTTGCTCTCCGGTCAACTCCGGCGAATCGCAAAGCAGCTGATGTTCCGACACCGTCAACAAGCACGGCGACTCGCCGATCAGAACGGTGTAGTTCAGGCGGTTGTTGCCGGGGGCGGCCGGGACCAGATTCTTCCCCTGCGCGTGAAGGAAGTTCACACATGAGGTGGTGCTTCAAGTCGGGACTTTCTGTGAGGGTGTTTCTCACCTTGAGGATGATGGGCGACCCCGGCTTGACCTCGAGGATTCCTGAGGTGCCCAGGGGGTCAAAGGTCGGGTTGGGGTAGTGCGTGAAGGAGGTGGAGTTAAGCACCAGCAGGGATGACACCTGACGGCCAAAATATCATTGCACCGAACCGTGAATAACAACATCAACAATATTGGTTTACTAGAGGTAAAGTTGAACATGATCACATTTGTGCTCAAAAATAAAACTTTAGGAATTCATTACAGGGTACGTATTGCATTAGTGAAAATGGACTATTTAATCTGAGGAGCTGCCTTGTGCATCTCGCCAGCCCTGATTCCGTCCCACATACCGCTGGACCAACGGCAAGCCCCCGGCTTTTGTTAGATTGACAACGAGCAGTCCCAAATTTTCCATGCTTTGTCCACTTTCACGCGTCTTGGTGTCGGTGCAAACTCGCACCACGTCGCACGCATCACCTGATCCAAGATGAAGCCAAACTCGTCGGCATGCAGCGCCCCCTCCGGCGGGTTGGGTTTGCCGTAGACCAGGCCGGGAGCCAAACATGTCATGACGCTGTCATTGACCGCCGTGCAGAACTGAGGAGATACACCAGAGCGGAACTCAGAACCACGTGAGGCACTAACAATGGGTTTTCATAGGAAATAGACCAATGTGTCTTTTTCTGGGCCGATATGGATTTATTAGTAGTCAAGGAGGCCGATAATGCAACCTCCAACTTAACTTTGTCGAAAAGTCTTTCAGCCTCTGTTTATTGAAGAACTTTTCATAATTGCAAAAATGTTGTTTTGTTTGTTTATTTTATCTTAAACAATAGAAATGTTGGCTGTAAAATTCCAACAAAAAGGTCAAGGGGCTCACAAGAAACAAGTCAATAGCTCTCTACAGCTTTCAACAATACATTTTCCAAAATGTCAAAAATAACTGAAATATTAAACTTTCACTTAAATTTAAAAAAGAAGTGCAGAGAGTCCCCGAGGTCAGCAGCATCTTTTACGGAGTTAAATCAAAATTGAAAGAAATTGTTCTCTGAAGTTTCGCACCGTTTTAAATTGATCTCTTGCAGGCCGTCATAGGTCAGCAGCATCTTTTACGGAGTTAAATCAAAATTTAAAGAAATTGTTCTCTGAAGTTTCGCACCATTTTAAATTGATCTCTTGCAGGCTGTCATATCATCTTTTACGGAGTTAAATCAAAATTGAAAGAAATTGTTCTCTGAAGTTTCGCACCGTTTTAAATTGATCTCTTGCAGGCCGTCATATTTTTTAAAAAGCTGATGCCGATATTCGTCATAATACCCAATATCGGCGCCGCTAATCGGCCCGGCCGCTAATCGGTTTATTCCTCATTTTTTAAAACCATGTGAAGTCATAACCAGGTGGTGTGAGAACAATGGGTTTTCATTACTGTGTGAAATTATAATCATGTAATCCCCAAATGATGTGAGGCCATCACTATTTGACTTTTAAAAAAAAAAAAAAAAAAAAAAAAAGTGCCGTCAAATCATAATAATGTGGTGTCATCAGCATGTCAAGTCATTTCGCTTAAAAAAAAAAAAAAAAAGTGACGTCAAATCATAATGTGGTGTCATCAGCATGTCAAGTCATTTCAATTTGACATCATAACACGTGATATCATCGAAATGTGGCCGGCCTTACGTTGTTTGTCTCCACGCCGCCATACTTGGCTCTGACTTTGGGCTCCTGGATGGTGAGCAGGTTGGTTCCCGTGACAGTGATCACCGTGCTACCGCTACGCACGCACACACAAGTGGGGGTGTCAGAGATCTGCGCTGTGATTGGTGGACAGTGGAGGTGGGCGGCAGGCCTACTTGAGGATGGACCAGTTAGGTTCTATGGCGCTGATGGTTGGGTCCTCCGTGTATGCGTATTTGATCTCCGAGCTGGTCACTTCGGCCTTATCGATCATCAGGCGGATGGGGGCGGGGCCGACTCCAGACGGTGAGGCGGGAGTGATGCAAACCACTTCCCGATTGATGCGTCTGGATGAGAAGAATCAGAAGAATGTTCCGCTTGGACTGCTGTTTGTGTGAGCCAATGATTTCTGTGCTCATGACTTACTTGACAAACAGACACTCGTCTTTATCGATGAAGACCGACACGCTGCTGCCGGCGTCCAAGTTCCGACCCGTCACCGTCAGTCTGGTTCCTCCGGAAACCGGACCTCTCTCTGGACGAACGTTGCTCAAACTGGGACTCTGTGAGAGAGACAGAGCGACAGAGCAAGAGAGAGAGGGATGGGGGGGGTTAAGACATCAAGAGTCTGCTTGGCACTCTCAACAATACAAGAACAGACAAAGGTGAACCAAGACTCACCACGAAGGCGTACGCTTGTGTGGACATAGTGCGGTACTCGGCGCTGCACACGCCGATACACAACTCCACTGCACCGCCAGGAGAGTGAGGCAGCAGCGCCTCCGCCATGTCGCACACCACCCTGTACGTGCAGATTAATTGCCTGTCCATCAAATGTCACCAACCCACCGAATACAACATAGTCTCACGTCGACTGCATTTTAATAGCACACTGAATACAAGTCAGTCACATGTAAACTAAACGCCGAATGGATGCCAACTACATCCTGATGGCTGTACGTTGCGGTCTATAAGTGACACTTTTTGGTAGTTTACGATGGTGACGCTAGTGGCATTAGGAATCCCGTTGGCGAAGCCTCCGAGGCAGGACGCCGCCTGCTGCATTGCTGGAAGAATACGTCGAGTACTGCCGAACACTCAAGTGGGAATCATGACACCCCACTTTGGCCTATGTCAGCCCAGCGGACTACCAAGCGGCACATTTTCTGACCGGTACAGCACACCCAAAAGTGTCGGCATGCACTTTGCCATGCAGTCCTCCTTCATCCCCATCATCATAATCATCTTCATCGTTGCTGATGTGTACATGCAGGTACTGGACATTGATTACATTGAACGTGCTTAGCTGTAAGCTGTTTACGGTAGTTTTCAGAGTGAAATTTCAAGCGAGTGTTTCAAATAATATGTTTTGAGATGATTCCAACTACATCCTGATGGCTGTACGTTGCGGTCTATCAGTGACACTTTTTGGGCCTTACGATGTTTTGAGATGATAATTTGTGGAATATTTACGATTGAGTAGACTATTAATACCGGGAATTTTAATCACTTTAAGGGGAGCTTTATTTAGTCGTGGAAATTCGTGATTGACTGTTGCACTCAGTCACTATCTACCAAATGTCGGCTGCACGCTGAATAGATGTCATTCCCGTCTTGGTCACATCTCAACTCCACATGTACAATACAGTCAAACCTCGGTTTTTCGAATGTCTCTGTTCTCGACCAAATCGGTTTTTGACCAAAAATTTCGAGTTTTTTATGCCTCGGATTACGACCGAAAATCGGTTCTTGAAAAACTAAGCGCATTTGAATGCGCCACTTGGCTCCTCTCGCCTTCCTTACACGAGGAAGTGACGCTTCCTCGTGTAGCGTTCCATTGTGAGCAGACGTGTTCAAAAAACTTTTTTTTTTTTTTTTTTAAAAGAGCGTGGTTTCGGTTTTCGAACAGCCTTCCGGAACGGACTATGGTCGAAAACCGAGGTATGACTATAATTGCGTTCACTGTCAACTCGCACGCATTGAATGGTGTTAGGCAGCACACTCCAATGATGCCCCCCAAAAGTTTGGCCGACACTGACCTCTCCGCGCTGATGTAGAGCGAGGGAACGGGCGTGCAGCGAACACCGGCCACCTGCACATGTGTGATCTCCTTCACCTGCAGACCCAAGTTTTCCCCCTCGATGGTCACTCGAGTCCCCCCTTCGCGAGGCCCCGTCAGGGGAGCGATCTGCGAGACGCCAACTTGAATGAGATGAGGCGAGCGTGGGGGCGGCGCCGAAGGGGGTGCGTGGGTGCTCCTACCTTGTTGATGCGAGGGTGGCTGCAGCGCACGTTGTGGCGTCCGTGGTGCATCCAGCTGTGTTCCGGCGCCGGGCAGTGCTGACGCAGCACGCACTTCCTGCTTTCGGCGCACCAGCCGCATTGGAACGCGGTCGGCGCTTTCAAGCACTGGCCGCAGCTCGACCGTTGAGCCTCGCACTTGTAGAGCAACGCTGTGCACGCAACGCCACACGAACAAGGGAAGAGGCGGGAACAAATCGGTAAGAGTAAGACTGTATGAGTAAGACATCCGTCCATCTGAACCGCTTATTCAGGATAAGCGGTGTTGATCATGAATGCATGGAATAAAGCAACATACAATGCTTCACAAAGCTTATGGGCCTTCCAACCCGGTGAGCCTTACGTATGAAAATGTTTTCCACGAGACCCATTCATTGAAACGGCGCTTCAGAATGCTCCGTAAAAATACGGTATCAACGGTAAATTTTTTTCTCAATGGAATTGGCCATTAGTTCAACACGCATTTTCATTGATCGCAGGCCTCGATGGTCACTCGAGTCCCCCCTTCGCGAGGCCCCGTCAGGGGAGCGATCTGCGAGACGCCAACTTGAATGAGATGAGGCGAGCGTGGGGGCGGCGCCGAAGGGGGTGCGTGGGTGCTCCTACCTTGTTGATGCGAGGGTGGCTGCAGCGCACGTTGTGGCGTCCGTGGTGCATCCAGCTGTGTTCCGGCGCCGGGCAGTGCTGACGCAGCACGCACTTCCTGCTTTCGGCGCACCAGCCGCATTGGAACGCGGTCGGCGCTTTCAAGCACTGGCCGCAGCTCCACCGTTGAGCCTCGCACTTGTAGAGCAACGCTGTGCACGCAACGCCACACGAACAAGGGAAGAGGCGGGAACAAATCGGTAAGAGTAAGACTGTATGAGTAAGACATCCGTCCATCTGAACCGCTTATTCAGGATAAGCGGTGTTGATCATGAATGCATGGAATAAAGCAACATACAATGCTTCACAAAGCTTATGGGCCTTCCAACCCGGTGAGCCTTACGTATGAAAATGTTTTCCACTAGAACCATTCGTTGAAACTGCGCTTCAGAATGCTCCGTAAAAATACGGTATCAACGGTATATTTTTTTTCAATGGAATTGGCCATTAGTTCAACACGGATTTTCATTGATCGCAGGCTGGCACAGTCCCGATCCCACCGTGTTATTTCTCTCGTCCTCCACGAAAGCATACAAACGTGTCTTAACCAAAAGGAGTCATTGGTGGACATCAGCGTGGAAAACTGGTCAACGCCAACAGGGGACAGATTTGGAACGTCAACTCGCACAGTACCTTTCATGGACACCGGCTTGTCAATGAAGAAGTCACCATCCCAGACGATGTTGAAGTCCACCGGAAGGTCAGCTGCTTCCATTCCCTCGTACCAGTACTGCGCCGCACAAGGACACGCAAATACGTCAACACATTAGTTCATGTCAAGACACACACAAAACCCAAGCATTTCCACTTCCATTTACACTCGGGGACAATTTAGTGACTTACGTGAAGCTGACATGCTAGCATGGCTTTCGGAACGAACGCGGGAGGGTAAAATCCACGCAAGCACCAGGAGAATCTCCAGGCAGGAAGGCCAGCAGAGATTCAAACCCAGAACTTGCCTATCGTGTGCGAGGCATGCTAACCACTGTTTTTGCGTCCAGGGGAACTCCCAACGCCTTCAACGGGAATTTGGTGGTATGAGATACAAATTTTGCACATATGAATGCGTATTGTTAGATCTCATTCCAGCCAGCATCAAATAAGTAACTCTGCATTCTATTCGCCTTTTTTTTTTTTGTTTGTTTTTTTTGGGGGGTTTTTTGTTGATGTGATGTTTGCATTTGAATCCATCTCTTTGTGCCAGTGACTCTGTGCGTGCGTGTGCCTAATGCTTCCATTACCATTAAAATCATCCAGCTGAGCCCAGCGAACAGCCTCGGCACACACGTTCTCATGAGACTTGTTATTCGAGACCAAGTGGTGAGTTATTTCTAAGCAGGACTTGTGGTTGTTGCGCTTTGGTATGAGATGAAGTCAATTGAATTGATCCGATATCAAGTGAACCTCACACACACACACACACACACACACACACGATTGAATTTGAGCAAAAGTACACAGATGTAACGATTCGGTTAGGGATCAATTGACAGTACATTTAATAGGGAACAAGAAAACTGCTCTCCAAATGTCGGTTCTTTCCAAAAGCACAACAAGCAATACAAAAGCCAATTCCAATGCAGTCAGTCGGGACGTGTTAAATATAAAAACAGAATACAATGATTAGCAAATCACGTCCAAGATGGATCTAACTGATTGCACTACAAAGACAAGCTGTTTCATGTTCACACGAATAAACGTGATTGTTTTTTTTTGAAAAAAAAATTATGAGCTTTCGATTTGATGGCTGCTGGTTGTTCCAGAAACGCTGGAACAGGCGGCAAAAAAGACTGAGAAAGATGAGGTCTATTAAGAAGGTTTTTTTTTTTTTTAACATCCCACAGCTGAAGAGGCTAACTGGGGAACAGGTGTGTGCCGTTGATTGGCGAGAAAAGGAGCTTCCCTCCATCGCTCATCACTCGCTTGTCATTCACAAGCAAAGATGGGGCGAGGTTCAGCTCTTTGTGAACAACTGCATGAGAAAACAGTCTGAGGACAATGTACCTCAATGTACAATTGCAAGGAATTTCGGAATGTCATCATCTTTCGCAAATTTCTCCATTGTGGGACAAATAAAGGTTTTCTTATCTTACCTACGATCAGAATCTGGACAAATCGCTGCATGTAAGCGGCAAGGCCGAAAACCAACTTCGATCCCTCAGGCGGCCGTGCATCAAAAACCGACATGTGTAAAGGATCTCGCCACAGGGGCTCAAGGAACACTTCACAAAACCAAGGTCGGTAAATCCAGTTTGCCACGACATCCCGAAGTGAAACTTGAAACTCTACTTACTATGACAGGCAAAAGCCATTCATCAACACCAGCCGGAAACGTCCGCAGCTTTTCTGGGCTCGGGCTCCTCTAAGATGAACTGATGCAAAGAGGAAAAGTGTTCTGTGGTACGACGAGTCCACATTTCAAATGGTTTTTGGAAATTGTGGACGTCGTGTTCTCCGGGCCAAAGGGGAAACGAACCATCTGGACCGTTATGGACACAAAGTTCAAAAGCCGGCATGTGTGATGGTATGGGGCTGCGTTAGCGCCAATGGCTTGGGTAACTTCCACATCTGTGAAGGCACCTTTGATGCTGAAAGGCACATAAAGCTTTTGGAGAATCACATGCTGCTTGACCACTTGACTCACCACTTGACTCCTCTCGCCTTCCTTACACGAGGAAGTGACGCTTCCTCGGGTGGACGAGGAAGTGACGCTTCCTCGTGTAGCGTTCCACTGTGAGCAGACGTGTTCAATAAAGATGTTTTTTTTGTTGTTTTTTTTTAAAGAGCACGGTTTCGGTTTCCAACAGCCTTCTGGACCGGATTATGGTCGAAAACTGAGGTATGAATGTATTTACTAAAACCAATCACGTTTATCAGCATTAAGCATCTTAGCTTTGTAGTGTATCCAATTAAATATTGGTTGAACATGATTCACAAATCATTGTATTCTGGCTTTGTACAGTCATAGGCGACTTGAAAAAAAATATATTCGAATCAAGAATGTGTCGGCAATGTCTGTGTGCTTTGGTTTTATTGGACTAAATGCTCAATTTCCTCTTCATTTAAAACCCCTCATACACACGCGCGCACATGCACATACACACCTACTCCACTTGGGTTGCTGACACAAGGACAAATGAAGGTCACTGTGCCGGGAAGACGACTGTGCTTCTCAGTCAGAGGAAAAGCAGGCTGTGCAAGACGGCGGTGGGGGTTGTGGGGCGTTTTACTGTCACATTTTCAAGTTAGTAGGGCTTGTGAGGGGAAGGCGGGGTAGCCGTTGATGGGGGAGCGCAACCGACGTTTTAGGCTAATCTTTTATTTCAAAAAAAAACTCCAAAAGCTTGTCTTTATTCCTTGGGCTGCATGTGCAGACGCGGTTTGGATGGCTTTGTTGATTCATTCTCGAGTCTGTCGCCGCGTATGATGCAGAGCATGCGAGTCGACTAGCAATAACTGTGACCGAAACGCACGGTTTGTGCAAACACACATTCAGACTCTGATGATGACAAAAATAATTTTGGGTTATTAGCCTGCCGCCCAGTAGTTGGTGTAGTGTGGGTGTTCACCGCTGATCTGACACCCACGGTCTCGGGAAAGGTTTATAAACAGGGTTGGGCAAACCTTTGAGCGCCAGTGCCACATTTTCTTTTCATGTAATCATTACAATAAATAAATTCGGTTATGAGATCAATTAATGAAAAATTTAGTTGATTTTAATTGACCGATTTTACTTTTTTTTTTTTTTTAATGCCTTTATGAGTATAATAAGTATTACAGGACTCTTGGTAATTTTATCAGAATCAGAACAACATGCATTCGCTTTATTGTCATTGTACCACAAGGTGCAATGAAATGGAACAAACACAACCCGTTGAAGAGACATAGAAAAACAACGACCAACGGGGGAATACAGAACGCAAGTCCGCAGGGTCGTCTTTTACAGCGCCCCATTTGCGCGGATGAAAAGAAAAAAAAACATAAGGAAGGTGTGGGGGGGGAAGAACCCCAGCCTCAAGTCCGCAGGGTCGTCTTTTACAGCGCCCCATTTTGCGCGGATGAAAACAAAAAAAGACATAAGGAAAGGGGGGTGGGGGGAGGGGGAACCCCAGCCGTAGCCCCACTAAGGGGAGCACACTATCGATTTGGAAATAACCTCGGCAAACAGGCACACAAACACACACACACACACAGGGCGGCGAAAACAACATAGCACGTAAACAATGAACACCATTTGCAAATGTCCACATTTTGGGACCAACAAAGGTGATATTATTTTATTTTATATTATTTAGTGTGGAAAAAAAAAAAAAAACGCTCGTTTGTTCTTGTTTTCAGGTGAATGCCCTCTGTAGCTTGAATGACATCAGTGCAGGTGGCAAGCGATAAGTTATGGAGTTGAAAGTGACACAGTTACCCACTTTACGGAGCCAGACGCATTTCACGCATTACTGAGGGTAGTTATCTTGTCCCGGAGTGTGTGCCCATCAGAAATAAATTCATATTGCTGCCATTTAGTGTGTGTGTGTAGAGTTGTGAAGCTGACACAGTTAAGTTGGTGTCGTATCTTCCTGTGATGTGCAAAGTTAGTATGCTTTGCTAAATTCGGTGCTACATTAGCTTCCGCTTTACGTCATATTATGTCCAACGTTGTGCCTAATAACATGTGGTGTATGTATTCTAGTTAATATGCAGCTCCCGGCTTTAACCAAATGTCATAACTTGGAATCTGACTTTTACTTTTATGAGAAAGCAATCAGTAAAGCCTTACCGAAGTGTTCTGACACTGGATGCAGGACGAGTTGAAGCGCACCGCCGGAATGCGCTGGACTTTCCCTTGGATATGGAACACGCACTCGTAGTTCTTCTGGCCCGACTGAGGCTGCGGGAGGTTGCGTGCTCGCAACGTGATCGGACGAACCAGACCGGCCGCCACCAGGATGTCGGATGTGGGCAGTATCTGAGGACAGCCCTGTGGACGGAAAGTCACACAATCAGCAAGATGGCGGTTGTTTTTAGCATGAGCATCCCAAGTTCTCATAAAAGGTGCAAATGCCTTCTTCTTCTTCATTGATTTTGACAGCCTGCAACAAATGGAAAAGAAATGACACCGGTGGCCCAAGTGTGAGCTGGGGATCCCGAGGCGTAATATTTCAAACGGTCGCTTAGCATAACCATTTTAGATTGTAATTATCGTCCCTCCCGTATTTAGCGGCTCTGAGATTAAATAGCTCGATTGCTGGCTCCTTTTTGTATCGTTAGCAATAGCACCAGCAGCTAACAGCTGCAATTAAGATTTTTACGGGGAAAAAAAAACCCCACCAAGCCCGACGGATAGGGTTGTCGATTTTCACATTTTCATGGTGTTTCATCTCGAGTGCAAAGTACTTCAATTGTTAGTTCTGACTTTGTGTCACAGGTGATTAACTCGTATAGTGGCAGTCGAAAAGGCTTTGCGACTTGGACTGAAAATGAAATACGTACACACACTCCAACAGTATTTCTCAGGGGAGATGAAGCTTCACGAATGAGTATCGGCACAGTAATTAATTGCCTTGTGACTGACAGGAAGCCGGTTAGCACCACAGGAAGTGGACCAGAGCACGGCATGCCGCAGTGACTACAGAGAAATGCTTTAAACGGACTCTTCACTTATCCACGCGCACGTAAGGACAAAGACACACACACACATTCGTCTATCAATCAATCCATTTTCTATTGCATGTCACCACGAGGGCTGCGGCTGAGAGCTGGAGCCGATCATATCTGACTTTATTGCGAAGCGGGGACACCCCTGGACTCATCACCAGTCAATGGCTGGACAAATATAGACAAACAACAGACTGGTCACTGTTGTAGACGGACCGACTACCCTGCTTTAAGGAAAAAAAACAAACAACAACAGCATTGACAAGCATTTTTTTTGGGGGGGGGGGGCGTACAATATGTGCTGTTTCTCCCTCATTAAATTTTGTAGTAGTAGAGAATTGATTGGTTTCACCTAAATCACCTGCATAACTGTGGCTTTGATGCAAATTATTTTTGACATCGGAGCGGTCCTTTTCTTCTATAAAATGCCAACGATAACTGGAATTGTGCTTTTGATGGCAAAATAATGTTTTTACAAATATTCAGGAGTGCAACAATTTTACATTTGAGACACTTTACAAATTATTTGCATTCTATTTAGTCGTAGAAGTATGTCGTAGTTTATGCATGTACATTGTTCTCCGTATGCGCGTGTATGTATGCGTGTTACATCATGACTCCGAACGCTAAATTTAAAGAATCATCATCATCTTTTGACACTTTACTCAATCACAAGCTTCTTGTAAAGGTCGAATTGACCGCATTTCACGTTAACGGCGCTCAAAGAGTAAAATGACCGCACGCGCCCAAACACAGATCTCGACTGAGCATGCTCAGTGCAAGCAGGGTTTTTAATTTAATTTTATTTTTTTTTACCTGGGCCGTGCTGACGCGTCCCTCCAGGAAAGAGCAGTCCTCCAGGTTGTTGGTGCACATGTGACGATACTTGCACCAGTGACACGCAAACATGCTGCCCACACAGGAAGTGCACCTGCAAACAGGAGGCGAAGATGCCATCAAGCGGGCAGCGGGGCCGAAGACAAAGAAGACGAGGACAGAGGGGAGGAGCGGACGTCAAGCTTACGAATTGAGCACAGAGCAGTTGTAGAAGGTGAAGTTGGTGCTGATGAAGGTGCGTCTTGTCTCGCTGGATCGAAGACTGAGTTGGACGTCTCGTTTCTCTCCTGCCGAGATAACGCCGCGCATTTAGCCTGGGTGCGCGTGTGTTCGGTGTATATTTGCGTGTGTGTGTGTGTGTGTGTGTGTGTGTGTGAGGGGCGTCATGGACATCATTCAGGATGACGGAAATGCTCTCACACAGACAAGTGAAACATTTACACACACACACTATTCTCATTCATCCAGGTCATTTCAATCTCAGGGCATTGAATCCATCGCGAGAGGACTTTTCTAATTGTTTTGGTTGCGATGGATTCAATGTCCTGAGAATTGCACACACACTACTGAAACACTCACAATTGTCTCACTCAAAACATTTTCATACAATGCCAAAATGCTCTCACATCAAGTGAAAAACACTCAGACACTGCTGAAATGCTCTGACAGTCTTTCACACACTAATGAAACACACTCACACACTACAGGAATACTCTTCGACACACTAGTGAAACACTCTCGCGCTAGTGGAATGCAATCACACCACTAAACCTCTCTCTCTTACGCTGAGAAGTGCAAGGCTTTCAGGTGCACTTCTGAAACGCTCTCACCTCCACGACTGAATGGATCTCACACACAATTGAAACACTGTCACGCACTACTGGAGCATCGTCACACTGCTGAAATGCTCACCCACAATGCTGAAACACGAACACACGACTGAAATGAAATCCTCACATCATCAAGTGTAGAACTTTCACACTCACCACTGAAACATTCTCGTCTAATAGCGGAAATCAGCATGTCATTGGTGTGCCTGAGAGTTTGTTCCCGATGGCCCCTCGTGGATGTATACTTGTGAGTGTCGGAGTGTCTCACCGTAGGAGTGTGGCGGCAGGTCTCGGAGCGTGGGCGACATGCACGTCACCTGACCGTCAGCCCCCACCTCCGCCGTGGTTTCGCTGATGTCTTCGAAGACGCAGGACACGCCCCCCGACAGCACGGGCACGTGGTGGACTCGTATGCTGAGCTGCACACAGACAACGCGACGCTCTATGTATGACATCATCGAACGAGGAGCCCGAGTTCGACAGAAAACGCAGACGTAATACAATATACACCCGCGGGGATATTCCGTGCTTTAAGCACTGCCCCTGGTGGTACATCAAGGAAACGCAGATACCGCCTACGAGTTATGTTTATTTGGTGACCAAGTTTGTAAATGAATAAAGCTACCATTAATCCGTTCCAGTCCCCAAACTTTTGTGTCATAATACATTTAATAGTACTGTATAAACATCATAAAAGAGAATGTTTTGCAAATCTACGAATGAGTGAAAAGCATTCCGTGAATTGTTGCTTTCTGAACTTCAGCTTAGAGGGCGGATTTGCCACATCCAAGATGGTCGACGCACCGGTCCATGGCAGCAACCGCACAAAACCGCCCAAGGCAGAGTCTTTGTATGTTTGATGTCAATGATGGGACGCACCTGCGTTGCTGGGGCGGTGACGGACATGTTGCTGGGGGTAACGGAGATGTTGACACACTGGTCAAGCTTGGTGTTGAAGTGTTGAGGCTCCTGCCATTTCTCGCATGCTTCCATTCTGGAACATCTGGTGGCGGATGGAGGTGAGAAAACACAATTGAAAGGTCTCGCTTATCATGAGGGCCCGAGCGGGCTGGACCAAGGCCCTCCATTTATTTCATATTTTACATGCGTATTTTTAAAAGCGCCCGCTGGCTGCAGCACAGCAATTGGAGGTGAGTAAGGAGGGGCTGTCACACAAGGACGCACGATGAGAGATGAAAGGCCGTCTCCAAGTGGCCGCTTCACAGCAGCCATCTTGACGTGATCAATAAATGGAGATCTTCTCATAATTCCTTATAAATGTTCTTTGCTCACTTCGTTCTCCAGCGAGTCCGTTTTTGGCTTGGCCATGTCGACCGCGCGCTTCTCATGCTCTGAATTTAAAAGGAACGAGAGGAGCTGCTTCCATTGGCCAGGGAGCTAGTCAGCTGTGTTCACTCCCTCAATGGCACAAACACCCATTTCCAACCTCGCTAAACCAACCATCTGCTAAAATATCAAGAAAGAAAACCATACCCATGCGCACAGTCGGACCGGCATGAAAATCGGGCCCGAAGTCGGCCATTTTGGCTTGAACGTGCTATTTTTCTAGAACTTGGGTGACAGTGAACCTTGCATGTTTGCGTTTCAACATTTGTGAAATTTTCTTTTCCCACTCCCCCCGCCCCCAACTGATCATTCATCATTTACGAAAAATCACACTTGTTCAATGTTTTTGTCCTCAAGCCAAAGCAATAAAAGTTGACCACATACTCTCAAATTCACATATTTACAGACTTTTTTCAGTTTTTTCTGCTGGATTTGACCCTCAATTTGCCCCCTGGTTTTGGGGGGGTTAGGTGGAAAATGCGAGTGGGGTGTTTAACAGCGATTTGGGGAAGAACTTTTGGGGTTTCAATTTATCACCCCAATGGAGTTGAATGGGCAACAATGTTTTGTTATTCGCGGGGGATCGGGACTAGACTGTTACAATTTGCCCGAATTCCCTTCCGTTTAGTATCGTGTGTAAATGCGGCACATCTGAACAACGTTCCGAGTTTCCGAAACGGTCTGAGTGAAGCAGGAGAAGTTGGAGAATATTTCCGAACGCACCCACGATGAGAGAACGGAATTTTTGGCAAGCTCGAGTGCTCCGGTTTGGCAATCATCTCAGAAAACGCACCGCGTCACTCCAACCATTTGGAAAACTCAGAGCATTGTTGAAAATGTGCCAGCGTGCACCAAAAACAGAGCACCGGTGCGCGCTCTCCGCACTCCAAAAGGGAACACGGTGCACCAATGCGTCAGGCAGTCCAAATGGAAACCGTTCAAGCACGAAATGCTGATTGGCACAGAATAGAAGCTGCGTGCGAAAATTAATGAGAGGGCAACGGGCTCTGCCTCTCCGACGTCCGAGTGAATTTCTGAATATGACCATAAAATTCATGGTCTCAGTTTTAAAATAAACTTCCCCGAAGAAAAAAAACAAGAATTCTTGACTGGTCTTGAACCGCAAAGTCGCGAGTGAGCACTGGCTAGCGTTTCTATTCAAGTGCGAGTGCGTATCGTTGTTTGCCTATGCGTTAGGTCACATCAAGTTGTGCTTGAATGTTATTTAAAAGAGTATGCTCGCTAGCGTTTCTATTCAAGTGCGAGTGCGTATCGTTTCAAGTTGTGCTTGAATGTCATTTAAGCTAGCATGCTAACTAATGCTATCGATTAGCCTCACTTGAAGTTGGTTTGTGTTCAATAATTTTACCTTTGCATGGAGTCATTGAGGTAACACGGGTTCCTGGTTGTGCACATTCTCCATGATGATTGGTCTTTGCGTTGTCACAAAAACACACAGTCGGTCCAAATGGAACACCGGAGTTGTGTTCTTGTATGATGCTCTCCATTTTAAAGTGCTTTGCTGCCATTTTGTGGCATCTACAGGTAATTATAACCCCCGATTACGGGGAGCGTAAAATATTCACGGATTTTTGTTGTTCGCAGCAGGGCTCGATCCCTATCCTCTACGAACAGCAAAGGGTTCATACATATTTCGTCCACCAAGTGACTCAGCAGAAATGTGACATTTTCATTCGGTCTTCCCGAAAATCCATGGCATTTTGTCGAACAGCGAACATCAGCAATGGTGCAGTCTTGTGTTCCGCCACGTATTAAGAAGTGATGGCAAACGCGTTGAAGCCTGAATGAGTGCAGCCATTTTTCTTCATGAGCGCAGAGAAGGGCTCGTTCATTTTGAAGGCCAACTTGATTGATGTTTAGAGCAAAGAGGAAACGTCTCCACCTGGACTCTGAACATCAAAGTGGCCCACAAACTGTGTGTGAGTGTGTGTGTGTGTACGTTCCCATGTGGCATCATTAATGTTTCTATAAATGCCCTTCGCACACATGCACGGCAGAAGATCCCAGCCAATCAGAAGCGAGCATCAAAGCAAATCCAGCAGCCACACGTTCAACTTTTTACAGATTGATCTACCTATCTATCGATCAACCATCCCCTAACCTGAACCCCATTGAGAAACTACGGAGCGTCTTTAAAAGGAAGATCTAAGATAGGAGAGGGCAGTATACAAATACAGCACGGTTCGGCACCCGCCAATTCACCTATTCGCATACTTGAAAAAAATATTTTAAAAAAATATTCTTTTGATTCTTTCTTTCTTGATTCAATGCTTACCCAGCCCTGTTATTGACATGATTTAAAAATAATAAACCAGTATATTGTTTATTATAATAATCAATTGTTGATTATGAAAAATTTGATACGCGGCACGACGGTTGACCGGTGAGCACGTCCACCTCACAGTGCGGAGGTGCAGGGTTCAACTGCGGCTCCCTGCGCGGAGTTCTCCCCGTGCCTGCGTGGCTTTTCTCCGGGTACTTCCCCAATTCCAAAAACTATTCATGGCAGGTGAACACTCTAAATTGTCCCGAGGTGTGATTGTGAGCGCAAACGGTCGTTCGACCGTAGTGGATGTCTTACTTGTTGTAGAGGACACACCATCCACAGTGAGGGTCTCCTGAAGATAAACAGCCCAAACAAGACTGATACTGCTCGCATGTCTCCACGGGAAGTCTGGTCACCTGAAACAACAACAACAACGAACATGCCGGAGGCGTGCAGGTGTGCAACCAGGGATCTGGGCCACCGCAAAATTGTGAAAAATCCCAAACCGTTTGCAGGATCACATTTAACGGGTGTTAAAAATATCTAACAAATCAAACAAAACAACCCCGGGCTAAAATAACCATGACACAAAATAATTGCTTGATCGGTTGGATTTCGAGTGTTTAATAAAATCAAAGAATGTCAAAGTGGTCTGCGCATCCTTCGATTGTCCCTTAAGTTGCTTGTATCTGAAACTGCCAAACCTTTTTTGAATGTACACTTTGTGTAATGGGCGGCCCGGTGGGTCAGGGGTGACCGCGTCGACCTCACAGTGCAGAGGTCGTGGGTTCGATTCTGGCTTCGGCCTCGCTGTGTGGAGTTTGTATGTTCTCCCCGGGCCTGCGTGGGTTTTTTTCTCCGGGTACTCCGCTTTCCTCCCACATTCCAAAAACATGCATGGCAGTTTAATGGAACACTCAATTGTCTCTAGGTGTGACTGTGAGCGTGGATGGTTGTTGATCTGTGTAGGCCTTGCGACTGGCTGGCAACCGGTTCAGGGTGTCCCCCGCCTACTGCCCCAAAGATGGCTGGGATAGGCTCCAGCACCCCTCACGACTCTTGTGAGGATAAAGTGGATCGGAAAATGGATGGATGGATGAACTGACTATGTGTAATGCTGTGTTTATAGGACGTCACACAAAGATGTCACAGTGCAGCCAAATGAACCGTTTTATCGTCCTCCACACTCAGAATCTCCGTACGTCTCGTCTGAAGGTGACCCTGCCTCCCCCGGCCCCGAAAAAAAGACTGACGAGGATGAGGGCTGTGAGGTCTGTGTCAAGTGGGGGTTTAGCGTGTGGGGGGGACGGAAAGGAGGGGAGCAGGTAAGAGGACGCAAAGCAAGGACGGGCAGAGCGTGGAGTGTGTGTAGTCCGTGTGTTAATGAGCTGTCTGCTTGTCGTGCATTTGGTCTTAATTTGAGCTGATGAAACCCCCCCCCCCCACACACACAAAACGGTATGGAAGCAGAAAAGGAGGGGGCTTGAAAGTAGGACACTGCAGCAGACAAAAAATGATACACACACGTGCTCATTCTCTCACACACACACACACTCACACACACACACACACACACACACACACACACACACACGCATATGTATACACACAAACACACTTTCACACATACATACACACCCAGACACAAATGGAAAAAAACAAAACAAAACACACAACAGTACGATCGGCGGTGCCATGCAGATGATATTCGAATTTCACAACGCAGCTGACATGACTGGAGTTGTCAGCCGATATGTCCCCCGGGCAACACACGTTTCGCACATGCCCCCCCTACCACCCATGCAAGAAGAAGAAGGACCTGATTCAGGAAGAGGTGACCTTTCACCTGTGAATGTGACTCAAACCTTGAACACACGCTGAAAAACACGCACGCACTGACATGTGAACTTTAACCCCTAACCCTGAAAATATCAGTGCGTGTGTGTGTGTGTGTGTGTGTGTGTGCGTGCGTGTTGGTAATGCTGCCAAATGTAACAGATTGTCTGGATGTGGTTCCAGAAATATCTGAATTCCAACTTGTTCCGGCCATCAAGTTGACTGTTCTGGATATTTAAAAGAAATCCAATGTCCAATACTATCACCAGTGGCCCGTACACATTTCATAAACGAATGCAATGAAATTAACACGACACGGTTACTTAAAAAAATAAAAATAAAAAATAAATAAAAACCTGTGCGCTCATATTGCACACTCATCCGACCTCGTTGCGCATGCACACTCCATTGGTAAGATTGCCATTATAAATGTTGTCTTATATCTAAGGTGTGCACACTCCATTGGTAAGATTGCCATTATAAATGTGCTCTTATATCTAAGGTGTGTGTGTGTGTGTGTGTGCGTGTGCGTGTGCGTGTGCGCAAAGTAAACTTGCATTTTTTTTTCCAAAAAATGTCACAATTTTTTTTTTTTTTTAAGAACAAAGCTTGAGGGTGTCAGCAGGACTTTAAAACGCCATCTTTCACATTTGAATACACAGGTGCACATATTTACGATACTGTACATCCACAAATTCTCGAAAGTAATCCAAAAAACAACACGCCGTTCACCAGTTCCATTTCATGCATGGGTCCTTGGGACTTGTTCGTTTGTCGTGATAGACACGGGCACCCAATTTACCATTAACATACACAGGTGCACATATTTACGATACTGTACATCCACAAATTCTCGAAAGTAATCCAAAAAACAACACGCCGTTCACGCTTGTCCCGATGACCACATCAGGAAAACGTGGATGGATATAAACAAGGAATTCTTTGTGTGTGCATTTTGCTGACATACACACACACTACACGTTGTTCATTGAGCCGTCAGAGCCTGAGGGAGGAAGACGAGAAGGAGGAAGGCCAGTGAGGGGTGACATGGAGGTGGGGGGGGGGGGGCTGTTAAGCTTATTAGCCCATTCCCATCCCCCGAGCGTCCATCATAGAGTACACACACACCCCCACACACACACCCACCCAAACACCCACACACA